TGAGATCGAATATCCCTTCTTATGGCTCTGAAAAATAAATAAAAAGTCAATTGTCAATGATATTGTCAGACAATCTAATTTAAAATGTAATTTATTCTATATAAATAAATCTGTAAATAGTTCTAAACATGTGAATAAATTTATAATTAATAAAAGACATTGATAATCTATAAAGGACCTACCTCGAGCGTAGACGGTGGCTGTACGAGAGGGAATGTAGATCATCATTTTGTTAGGATAATCTGAGTACGCTTCCGGTACTGTGAAATGTTTCACATTGACGTCTACACGATTTTCACCACCGAAATCTTTAGCATCGCTGCAGAGGACAGCTTTATAAGTTCCTGGCGTTTTGACGCCGACCGGATAATCGGGAAACGATTTAGTCGGATGAAAATTGAAAACGAAGGTAAGATCAGCTCGGTCGAAAACTATTACCTTGTCATCCTCATGTTTCCAACTCACGTAACCCTACAAAAACGATAAATTTTTAGTAGTATTAAGTAGACTCGATTACGGAGTCCTATACTTATCGGAGCTGAATTGAGAAAGTCTATTCTAACGATTATACACGTGTATAATATATCGCAACATTTGCAGCTGCTACACGTATACGTAACTACCTAATACGTAACTACCTAATAGTTATATTTACGGGATTAGCATGAAGCCAGCCATATCTTTCTTCTAATTGATTCACAGCTCGATCCCAGTTGTTCATGAATTGGTATTTCAACAACTCGTTGTCAACTAAATTCCACTGCCTTCGAGCATAGTGGTAACTATCATTGTTCCCGGCTCGAGGAAAATCCAACCACTCGGGATGACCGAACTCGTTGCCTAATCGCAATTAAAAGATGATTCGAGTAACGCGTAATAGAAAAGTATTAATCGTGTATAAAATCGTGAGGATCATACCCATGAAGTTTAAATACGCCTCTCCACCCAGTGCATGAGTTACCAAGGTGATTAAGTTGTGCAGCGCGATACCGCGATTTATAATCGGATTAGGTGGACTCAAGACGCTCATGTGAGTGTACATTTCTTTGTCCATGAGCCAGAAAGCGATAGTTTTGTCACCGACGAGAGCCTGGTCATGCGACTCTGAATACGCGACCGTTTTCTCCATCCATCGGCGATTGCTCAGCGTCCAACAGATATCTCCTATGTTCCAGTCCTCGTCCTTAACTTCTTTCAGAAGTTTTATCCATTTGTCGGGAATAGCCATGGCTAGACGGTAATCGAAACCTATGCCACCCTCACTGACTGGCCTTGGAATCAAATTTATAAAATCAGCGTTTATGCAATAACAAAAATTAATATTATGAAAATTCTTAATTTTTTTAGTTAAAATACGGAGTTCATAGTTGGACTAAAGATTACACAAAAGAGACATATATTGTCACTTTAAAGAATGATTTAGGATACCTGCAAATCGCGGGCATTCCACTGACGTCCTCTGCTATGGTAGTAATTTCCGGATAGAGATGGTGCATTAAGTGATTGGCGAGCATTAGATAAACCACACCCTCAAAATCTACATTAAGACCATAATATTCATCGTAGTGGCCACTGAAACCTTGGCCAGCTCCTCTCGAATGGTACAATATCGAGGTGACTCCATCAAATCTTCAAATTTAACACAATATACAATTAACTTGACGAGAATCTGTTTAACAAGTGCAACGAAAAGTACAATGAAATGTAACAAGTACCTGAATCCATCGAAATTGTACTCTTCTATGTACCACCGTAAATTGGATATTAGGAACCGTAAAACTTCGTATTCTCCGTAATTGAACAGCCTGCTGTCCCATAACGGATGCTGACCGCGGTTTCCAGAGTGGAAAAAGCAGCCATCGGTACCGTCGAACATATTCAAACCGTCCAGCGTGTTTTTCGAAGCGTGCGAGTGCACCACGTCCAACAAAACGTACAAACCGTGCGCGTGTGCTGTGTCTATTAATTCTTTTAACTCCTCCGGATTACCGTAGCGGGAGGAAACAGCGTAGAACGATGTAACCTTGTCAAATAAGAATAATAAACTAATAATGAATTTAGGATTAATATTAGTGTAAATTCTTTTTTATCCTGGAAGATCACTCGGCTTACCTGATATCCAAAGCTGGCGTAATAAGCGTGCTCCATAATTGCCATTAATTGTATGGTATTGTAGCCTTGTTTTACTATTCGCGGGATTATGTCCCGAGCGAATTCTAAGTAGGTGCCGATTTTCAATTCCTGCGTTGCGATTCCCACGTGGCATTCGTAGATTCGGAGACTTTCAGGTTTCTTTGGCTTTGGATGCTTAAACTTATAAACCTGAATTAAGAGATACGATTATTACTTGCATATTTCTGAAGGTAAGTACTTAAAGATGAAATATGTGATTTACATACATTTTCAGGTAATGGATTCCATAGTCGCTGCTTATAAGTAGCGCTTTCAGCTTTATTTTGAGTAACGTAGGTAGCCCAAGGACTTAAACGCTCCAACAGTTCATTATTGTGGCTTTTAATGATCAATTTTACTTCTGAATTATGTTTTATTGGACAACTGCCATCAGGGTTGGGTGGTAGTTGCAATTGCCATTTACCGTACTCCAATTTTTTATAGGAATTGGCTGTCTTGTTCCAGCCATCTGATAATAAATGTAAAAGATATTAATCAAAGTCAAACGTTAACATACACACAGTATCATACATGCATCGAGTTTGTAACTTAAGAGTTACTTACTAAATTCTCCTGTTAAAAATAATTCTTGTGCACCAGGCGCCCATTCCGTTGCAACGACGCTATTGTCTTCTTTTACATGAATCCCAAAAGTCTCGTAACTTTTTGAAAACTTATCTAGATCATTATCACCAGCTTCCACTTTCTCTGTATAATCTTTAAACAATGCATACCTGTCAAATAAGATAATAATTTATCAGTACGAATGTTTCAGTATAACTTTAGTCTCGATGTCTGATTCAGTGCAATTTCTCGATTTAAAAAAAAAAGGACATTTGAGTACAACAATTATGAATGATTATCCACTGCATTGCGAATTAAATTTTAATGAATGAATAACAATTTAAGTTGTACGTTTTCGTTCATTACTGCACTGTTTATATGTTAACATTTATTTATTCCGTTTAATAGGCTTAAAATTTGAATACATACGAAATAGATAAGTGAATACCTTTTGCGAATTTCATTCTCATAAGGTTTTAAATATGGATCTCTTTTTAATAAAACATCGATCTCCGGTACTTCCACTTGCGACGGATCCATGCTCGACCATTTTCCACCCATTATTGATCGTCTTTTTTCTCAATCTTAGTTTTCTACTTTCGGCAACGAAACAATGGAATTATTGATGAAACAGTAGCTACAAAGTGAAACCGAATGAAAACCGGCACTATTCTTTCAAATAATGAATGGCACCCCAAGGTGACCTTAGTACTGTTATTTAACCAGTTTTAAAGAAAGAAAAAATAAGTTACATACGGCGCGTAATTACTTATATAGTTGCGGTACGGCGCGGCGCGGCGGTACGCACCGGTGAAAAAAGAATAAACTTTCGAAAAGATAAGAGAGAAACAACTTTTTTTTAGAGCGGAGACTTTATTGGCTAATACGTGTACGACCACAGCCGGCTGCGATACGACATGTGTGCAATGCATGTATGTATATCTCTAATGCTCGGATACTAATCTAGGTAGAGTAAAGGCGGAGAGTGGCGCTTTGGTACAGTCCGGTTTTTGATGGAAATATGGCGGATGTCGAGGTGAGTTTTGTCACGTGGAATCGTCAAAAAACGTTCTCCACTTTACTGCAATTACCCTATCCGCTTGATCCGTTTCGTTTCAGTTAACGAAAGCACTGAAGGATCTGCCGAATCGTGTACAAACCGCTAGCAAACGGGAACGACGCGAGATACTGCAAAATGTCGTCGACGTGTTGTCAAATCCTGGTAAGGAAACGATAAAACACTGTTTCCACGCTTTTTTCAATAACGATCGTATTTCTCCTTTTGCGTATTTAAACAGCGTCGCCGGTATTAAAGTCGGCTCACGCTGTCACGCGCGATTATTGTTTCGTATCTTTTTATTCAGGATAATATTGTTTATGAAGTTTAAGCACAGTTGCATCACATTATTGTTGTAAAAATTATAATTTACGAATGTTTCATTGTCGTTCCAATATTTCTTTTTAGCTTACTTTTATTTATTATCAAACATAACGATTAAAATAATATGAAAATAGTAACATATGCATATTGTTATAAATGAATTTCATGATGTAATCAATAACTTTATATCCTCTGCAGGAGATATATTTATTTTCCATAGTCGATATAGTTTTTAAAAGTAAAAGATACATGTGACACATGTTTCATAATAATACATGTCGTTGATTAAATTGATACGTATCTTTATTATGAATGTAATTATGGACACTATAATTGATAATAAATAAGCATATTGTGTCGGATAAAATTTTATGGATAATTTGCATATAAGAAAAGGGACATCATTACGAAATGTTCCGACTACGACGATTTATACTTATAAACAGATCAGAACAAGGATTGTAGTATTTACATTACAGACATCTTCTTATTAAATTTCATATCTTTCACGTTTACAGGCATTAACGAAAAAATCGTTAATGGAATTTGCAAGACCGTATCTCTTACTCTACATCGATATAAGGACACGGCCTCCCAATCTTACGTGAAGAATTTGATAGAAGAGCTACTGAAAACACAACCAGAAGCTACTATAAAACATATGACAAATGTGATTGTGGAGCATGCAACGTGGCATAAAAATGTGGTTCCTACGTACGTAGCTCCTGATCGATAAAACAATTTTATTTATTTTGAAACTAATCATTCCTTCTTCCCCACCAAATTTCCTTACGAATATTAATAAAAAAATTCTGTTTTACAGACGAAACACGGCCCTTACCGCTTATCTCGCTCTAAAATGGTCTACGCTTATTGTTTTACATGGATACAAAATCAAAACAAGCGTAATAACCGTGGAATTACCGAAACTGATCGAGGCCCAGGCAAATTTAAGTGCTGCTGCTTTGGCCTCGATGGATAAGAAGCTAACGGAGAAAGTGCAGGATCTTCTGACTAACCAATGGTCCCATATTGCCGACATCGAGGTGATATACTTGGAAACGTTAACCAAGTTCGAAGTAGGCAACGGTGTTATCGTCTTGGCGAGTTTGCTCACTAAATATCTTGTCAACGCAAAGAAGAGCGAATTGATCATTAGATTAAAGGCGAACATCATAGACATCTTCATAAAGCTAACGATCAGCTGTAAGAAGAAACCGGATCTCTACGTGGTCCATAACGCAGTGCCCCTCCTTCGTAGAATATCGCACGAGGAGTTCAAGAATCAACTGTTACCGGCGATACAGAAAGCCATGCTGAGGAATCCGGAGATCATTATCGAGTCGGTCGGATGTATTTTAGCCGGTCTGAGCTTAGATTTGAGCCAGTACAGTCAGGAAATCAGTAAGGGATTGTTCGCGAATCTTCACTCGAAAGAGGACTTGGTACGCGACGAGGCCGTGGGAGCCTGTCGCAGGCTGGCTCTCCAATGCTCGGACACTACGGCCCTCGAGAACCTGCTGTCATCCGTGTTCGCCGTGTTCCACGGTTCCGAGGGAAAGCTGACAGTCGCTACTCATAAAATTTCTGTACTCCAAGGCGCTGGTAATCTAAGTTACAACGCTGCCTCGGGCAGCAGCGTGGAGAGGCTAGCGGAGACTGCTTGCGAGCATTTCATCAAAGTACTCGAGACGGAGGTTCACGAGAAGACCTTGATCCACGCTTTAGAAATGATGGCGCTCTGGTCTAACAAGTTTGTGAACAACGTACCGAAAACCGTGATCGACGCATTTAAAAAAGGAATGTCCGCTAAAACTTCAACTGCCCTGGTTCGCACCGCTTATATTCGACTGTTCTTCTCCGCTCCAGTTATCTCGTATTCCGACACAATAACTCCGTTACTAATACAATCGATTAATAGAGCTACGCAGCAATCGGCACAACCGGCTGCTGTTACAGAGGGTCTGGTTGCTTCCTATTTATTACTGAAGTTCGTGCTTGCGAACCAAGTGGAGAACGACAAGCAGACGATTCTGTGGAACGCGATCGACGAGCAGATATTTTTCACGGACAAATTTTTATCAGCTTGCAGCGACGATATACTTTACCACCTGATGCTGCTGTGCGAAAGATTGATCACCGAGTTTGGCGACAGATTGAACGAGAAAGCATTGAACGGCGTTCACAGAGCGATTGTGACGTGCGCGACGGCCGCAAATTATAATACTAGGAAACGTTGCTTCCCTTTAATCAAGAAGGTTTTAACTGGCCTGAGCGCCTACGGACCTGCGCAAGAACTGCTGACGGAGTTCACAAAATTCTTAGATCACGTGAAGATTAAATGTGAGACCGATAATAAAGAGAACAAGGAGGACCCATTGAACTTTGAGACGACCGGAAGATGTTTAGCCGACGGGCTACTCGCCATTTGTTCCGGATCGTTTTTGTTCGAAATACCTGCTATGCAAATGACCCGAGACGCTTTGATACCATCTCATCATCCAGCGATTCTCAAAGCGATGCCCAATGTATGGTTCAAGATAACTAAGAACTTCAACTTTCAACCAAAGAACTTTTTACGCACGTTCAATCACGAAATAAAGAAACTATTGGTGCAGAACTTCGATCCCGTACCGAGTTACGAGAATGCACTGGCCAGGGTAGTGTCCATTATACCTGACGTTATATTGCCATCCGTAGTTTCGAGCATAACGAGTAAATTGGACGATCCGGAGATCCTGAAAGTGACCAAGGACGAGTACTTCACCTACTTAACTCCGGAAGGGGAATTGTACGATAAAAGCGTGCTACCGACCGTCGACGAGAACGATATTTTAAATTCTATGAACATGAAACGCGAGAGCAAGGTATACTCTTTTAAAGAACAGCAAGAAGAGTTACAATTGAGACGAGAATTATACGAGAAAAAGAAGAAAGAGGGAAAGATAAAAGAGCCGAAGCTGACGCCGAAACAAGAAGAAATTCTAAAAACACAAATAGCGAAAGAGAGTGCGATTCGTAAAAGATTGATAGAGTTGAAACGTAGAATAGATAACGCTGTGTCTATGGCGATATCTTCGATTAACGGCAGTGGCCAAGAACTTTCGTTCTATCTGAAAGATCTTCTACCGTCCATTCTGAAAAATCTTGGATCTCCATTAGCCGCTCCGGCTATGTGCGACCTCTTCATCCGTTTGAAAGGTATCGTGCAGATTGAAGATCCAGTACTAAGCGATTTGGTGGCTCACGTTACTTTGAGACAGTTGCAGCCGCAATGTGATCTGGACCAGGCTTGGGAGGACGAGAACCTGGACTCGGCAGTGAAAAGGATTTTAAATTTACTCCACACCATCACGATCAAGCAGAAGAAACTTTTCACCGCGCCTACGTTCTGTTACATTTTTCCTTTTGTCAAGAAGACTCTGTTAACTTACAAGGACGATAACATGATTGTCCAAGGACTTCAGATAATTCAAGAGCACGCCAAACAGAGAGGCAATTCGGACTTTAAGAACTCCAGACATCCTCAACTGCTTCCTCGCAAACACATGTTCGACCTTCTGATAGAGCTGATGGAAATAACTAGTGGGAGGGTGCAGACGCACGCAGTGGCTACTCTGTTGGACGTGGCCCAGTCTGGAAGTGGACAGCGCGGCGCGGCGATAGCTACGAACGAAGACGTGGACTCGCTGATCGGGGCATTACAAAACTCATTGCCAACTATAAGAGACGCCGCATTGAGAGCATTGACGGTAGTTAAACAGACATTCCCCTCCCAGAAAGAGGACCTAGAACGGGCGTCGCAGCTTGTTAGAAGGATATGGATCGCGAAATTTGATGTTTGCGATGAGAACAAAATACTAGCGAGCGAGTTATGGAACGCAGCGGATTTAACAATGAACGCCGAGACTTTAGCTTACGAATTAATTCAAGATATCGCCCATCCGGTGGAACCTGTTCAGCAGGCCGCCGCTTGTGCCTTGGCCGAATGTTTAATAACCGTTCTTCACTTGGTCCCGTTAATTTTGGATAATCTATTGCAATTATATCAGGATAAACTAGCCATGATACCGCCCAAGTTGAACGATTTCGGTCGAGTCGTCGAACAGCCTATCGACACATGGGGTCCTCGGCGAGGCGTCGCTCTCGCTCTGGCTCAAATAGCGCCTCTGCTCAGCGCTGACACGGTATTGAAACTAGTCCAATTCTTCGTTTCCACTGGACTGGGTGACAGGAACCAAGCCGTGCGCACGGAAATGCTGACGGCTGCCGTGGCGGTCGTCGATCTCCATGGTAAAGCGAACATAACTTCGCTTTTACCAGTATTCGAGGAGTTCATGGACAAGGCACCCAAGATCGGCAGCTTCGATTCCATCAAACAGTCAGTGGTGATTCTCATGGGTTCTTTGGCAAGGCATTTGGACAAGGACGACTCGCGAATCAAGCCGATAGTGATGAGATTGATCGCAGCGTTGTCTACCCCGTCGCAGCAGGTCCAGGAAGCCGTTGCCAACTGTCTACCGCATTTAGTTCCTTCGATCAAAGACGATGCGCCGAAGATTGTCGATAAATTGATGGATCAACTGTTGAAATCTGATAAATACGGTGAACGCAAAGGAGCCGCTTACGGGTTGGCTGGTATCATCAAGGGAATGGGGATATTAGCGTTAAAGCAGTTAGACATAATGACCACATTGACCAACGCTATTCAGGATAAGAAGAACTACAGGCATCGAGAGGGGGCCCTCTTCGCTTTCGAGATGCTCTGCACGATGCTCGGAAGACTGTTTGAACCTTACATCGTTCACGTGTTGCCGCATCTCTTGTTATGTTTCGGGGACTCTAGTCAATACGTTAGAGCCGCTACCGACGACACAGCTCGGGTCGTTATGAGCAAATTGTCAGCGCATGGAGTGAAACTGGTTTTACCTAGTTTATTAGCTGCCTTGGAAGAGGACTCTTGGAGAACTAAGACCGGTGAGTAGCCGCACTGTTTTCAGTGTGTACGTGACTCTGTGCCAAATTATTTCATGTTCCTTTTGATTTGGTCAAATCACAGGATCCGTGGAATTGCTCGGAGCGATGGCTTACTGTGCACCCAAACAGTTGAGCAGCTGTCTACCAAGTATCGTTCCAAAACTCATCGAGGTTCTCAGCGATTCGCACACGAAAGTGCAGGAGGCCGGAGCAGAGGCTCTTAAAGTGATCGGAAGCGTGATTCGCAATCCTGAGATCCAAGCCATTGTTCCAGTCTTGTTAAAAGCTCTTCAAGATCCTTCGCACAAAACAGCCACGTGTCTCCAAACTTTATTGGACACGCAGTTCGTACATTTCATTGACGCGCCGTCTTTAGCTCTCATTATGCCGGTCGTGCAACGAGCTTTTTTGGATCGTTCAACGGAGACAAGAAAAATGGCAGCGCAGATCATCGGTAACATGTATTCGTTGACCGATCAGAAAGACTTAACGCCGTACTTGCCTACCATCATTCCCGGATTGAAAACGAGTTTGCTGGACCCGGTACCGGAAGTCCGAAGTGTATCTGCTAGGGCATTGGGCGCGATGGTCAGGGGAATGGGCGAGTCCAGCTTCGAGGACCTGCTGCCCTGGTTAATGCAAACGCTCACGTCCGAGACCAGTAGCGTAGACCGATCCGGTGCCGCTCAGGGTCTGTCGGAAGTGGTCCGAGGCCTGGGTGTCGAGAAGCTTCATAAATTGATGCCGGAAATTATCAGCACCGCCGAGAGGACCGACATAGCGCCTCATGTTAAAGACGGCTATATAATGATGTTCATCTACATGCCTAGCGCGTTCACAAACGAATTCACCCCGTACATTGGACAAATAATCAATCCTATCTTGAAAGCATTGGCTGACGAGAATGAGTACGTCAGAGAAACTGCGTTAAGAGCTGGTCAACGTATCGTCAACCTTTACGCGGATTCCGCCATTATGTTATTGTTACCGGAATTGGAGAAGAGTTTGTTCGACGATAATTGGCGTATCAGATATTCGTCGGTTCAACTGCTCGGGGATTTACTCTACAGGATTTCCGGCGTTTCCGGTAAAATGTCGACGGAAACCGCGAGCGAGGACGACAATTTTGGCACGGAGCAATCGCATTATGCCATCATAAATGCTTTGGGCGGTGAAAGGCGAAACCGTGTTCTGGCTGGACTTTATATGGGGAGGTCGGACGTCGCGTTGATGGTTCGACAAGCGGCGCTTCACGTATGGAAAGTCGTTGTCACGAATACGCCGAGGACGCTGAGAGAAATTTTGCCAACTTTGTTCACGTTATTACTAGGCTGTCTAGCTAGTACCAGCAATGATAAAAGACAAGTGGCAGCAAGAACTTTGGGAGATCTTGTTAGAAAGTTGGGCGAAAGAGTTCTGCCAGAGATCATACCTATTTTGGAGAAAGGTTTACAGAGCGATCAAGCGGATCAACGGCAGGGTGTCTGTATAGGATTGTCAGAGATCATGACCAGTACTAACAAGGATATGGTCATGAATTTTGTCATCAGTCTGGTCCCAACAGTCAGGTATAGTTTGCTGTCTGTCAGCTACTGCCACCGCTAACGAGTAACGCAAGTACGATGAAAAACTTGTTTTCTCGTCTTTCAGAAAAGCCTTGTGCGATCCGTTACCGGAGGTCCGTCAAGCCGCAGCGAAAACTTTCGATGGCCTCCATTCGACTGTCGGCGTGCGAGCCCTGGACGATATACTTCCAGCCATGTTAATGCAATTGAATTCTCCGGACCCGGCAGAAGCCGAGAACACTTTGGACGGTCTTCGCCAAGTAATGGCGATCAAATCTCGCGTCGTCTTACCATACCTGGTTCCGCAATTGACAACTCCACCTGTTAATACGAAAGCCTTGTCGATATTGGCGAGTGTTGCGGGCGAAGCGCTGACCAGGTATCTACATAAGATTTTACCGGCGTTGTTGACGGCTTTGTCGAGTGCCCAGGGTACTTCGAACGAGGTGCAGGAACTGGAGTATTGTCAAGCGGTGATTCTGTCTGTAACGGACGAAGTTGGAATTCGCACTGTGATGGATCAATTGATGGAAGCGACCAGATCCGAGGATCCATCGAGACGTAGAAGCGCCGCAACGTTGTTGTGCGCTTTTTGCCGCGACACGCGAGCGGATTACAGTCAATACGTGCCACACTTGTTACGAGGGCTCATACATTTGTTCACGGACGACGACAAGGATGTATTGCAGATGAGCTGGGAAGCTCTTACAGCCGTTACCAAGGTGTGTTCTAGAAAATACTCTCGGCATCGATCCATTTGTGCCCGTTTCTACGTTTAACATGTTCTATTTTTTCAGACGTTGGCGTCGGATCAGCAGATTGCTCATGTCCAAGACATAAGGCAAGCCGTACGATTCGCGGTGTCCGATTTAAAAGGACAAGAATTGTTGCCAGGATTCTGTTTACCTAAAGGTATCACACCGATACTACCAATATTCCGAGAAGCTATATTAAATGGTTTACCGGAGGCGAAGGAACAAGCAGCTCAAGGACTCGGGGAGGTCATTAAGTTGACCAGTGCCACTGCTCTTCAACCTAGCGTCGTTCATATTACCGGACCATTGATTCGAATCCTGGGTGATCGTTTCAATTGGAGCGTGAAAGCAGCTGTCTTGGAGACCCTAGCTATTTTGCTAGGCAAGGTGAGATAAACAGCTGTGTTCCTATAAGAAATCACCACAGAAATGTTTATCTACATTTCCTTTAATATAATATCAATCTTCATTATTGTTCGATCGTGTAATGACCATTTTATATATTGTTCATCAGGTCGGAGTAATGTTAAAGCAATTCCTACCGCAATTACAAACGACCTTCCTGCGAGCGTTAAACGATAGCAATAGACAAGTGAGACTAAAGGCTGCTTACGCTCTTAGTAATCTAATCGTGATTCATACGCGTGTGGATCCGTTGTTCACGGAACTTCATACTGGTATAAAAACTGGCGACGATCCAGCCATTAGGTGAGATATTAATCTGAGATGAACAGTGTCAAAAAGAAACTTCACAATGTAATATATAATAATTTATAGATTTATTATGAATATTGTACGATCGTGCGTATATTGTTTAGGGAAACGATGCTTCAAGCTTTGCGAGGAGTCTTGACGCCTGCCGGTGACAAAATGACAGAGCCGATGAAAAAACAAGTGTTTGCTACCTTGAGCAGTATGCTCGGTCACCCGGAAGATGTTACCAGAAATTCCGTGGCTGGCTGTTTCGGAGCTCTGATACGCTGGCTGAGTCCTGATCAACTCAATATTGCGTTCAACGATCATATACTATGTAAGTTATCGTCTTTTTAATTTAATTTAATTGATTTAATTAAATTTTATTGAAACACTCTTAGCCACGGATACGAACGCCGACTGGATGCTCCGACACGGTCGTTCCGCAGCGTTATTCGTAATCCTGAAAGAATCGCCAACAACTGTTTACAATGATAAAGAGAAGGACCGCGTGTGCAGCGTAATACTCATGCACTTGAGCGCGGATCGCGTGCAAATTGTTATGAACGGAGTCAGGGCGTGTGGCTATTTATTCCAGTATCTAATGACCGAGGGTAAATCCGTGCCCCCGCAAATCCTGTCGCCTTTCGTTCGGGTAAGAAGGAACATTTTTACTTTAACAATAAGTTCAAGAATAATTCATTGTATTCACAGTGTTCACAACTATTGTTATTTTATGTTTCAGTCAATGAACAACAACAGTAACGACGTGAAGCAATTATTAGCGAAAGTTTGCATTCATTTGGCGCGTAACATACCTCCTCCTAAGATGTCACCGGAGTTATTAAAATCATTGTTGCCGATGCTGGTGAACGGTACCAAGGAGAAGAACGGTTACGTGAAAGCTAACAGTGAATTGGCTCTTATCGCTGTGCTCAGGTTGAGGCAGGGTGAAGAGGAATACCAGGTAAGATATTTGTTTCAACAAATTCTGTATAGGATTCAAGTTGTACGTGGTTTACAGATTAATATTATACATCGATAATTTAATTGATATCGTTTATTGATATTTATTCATTTGTTTCAGCGTTGCATGGCTTTCCTAGACGTTGGAGCGAGAGAATCGTTGTCAGACGTAGTCAGCAAAGTTTTGAGAAAGGTCCTCTCCCAACCGGAAGGTAAAATAGAGGAATTGGACGATACCTTACTCACGTGAGGGACGTATATCCCGGGTTTTGTTACCTTGGCTAAATTTCACGATCGTACCGTTAAAACGAACGATTTTTATAATAAACAGACGACCATGCGTCTAGGTTCTTGTACCAACTGCATTAAAACAGCGTCGACATCACTGTATAATGATTATCAATTAAACAGAGTAAAACGTAACAATAGTTGCTCCTACGTATATGTGTTAATTAAATTAAGAATCGTCTCCTTCTTGATGATGAGTGGCTAGAATACCACGATAAAAAGATTTGTTAACTATCCAAGGGATTATTTAAACAACACTCCGAACAACAAATTGTTTGAATTTCCTTTATAAATCGAAACGTGAAGGCGACGGATGATTCTTTTTTATTACGATATTTTCGACCAGGTCTTTTGTTATCGCTCGCTCAAGACTGAATCGTTCCATCCTGTGGCCATAAGAAAAAAATAAAACAAAGAGAAACGACTGCCACTCCTCAATATTTAAGCAACTGTGACCGCAGACCTTTTCAGGGAACTATGGATTTAATACAAATTTTATTGTGAAATTCTTAAATTTGTGTTAAATCTGACACGTTCTCTATTTAGCTACGATTTAATGTGTATGATCTCTTTCGACCGTTCTCCGTTTTCACTTAGGTTCCGTTCACACCTTATACAAAATAAAATGCAAAATGTTAATCAATTTTTAAATTTGTAATTGTACATTAAATTCTTTGTTTAAATAAGATTTAAATGAACTTTCTCGCGAGGACCTTCATTGTTTCTTCTATCCATAACGTTATTAACATTGTTCGACGTTTCATTTCTCTTCTCAGAACTCTTTTTCAATAATAACAATTGTCTCGCTGCCTCTAATATTATTTCATAGAACTCAAGGAACGTCAACTGCAACAGTCCGAATCGTTAACATTCTTAATTGTCCTGAGTACTGTAACAATTACAACTTCTCTACTATTGTAAATTAAATATTGAGTAAGTATAATTGTATACAACATGTCTGTAAAGTACACGTACATACATTGCATTTAAGCAAGTTTCATTAAGCAAGTTAACTTAAGAAAATTAATTATTAAGTTGTAAGCGATCGACAAGATTTTTGTAATATCTCTAAATAACTACTTGTGAATTATTAAAAGACTTACATATTAAGTTGAAATATATGATGTCCAAATACGTTGATTTATAGATAATAAATAATAAATAATAATAATAATAATAATAATAATAATAATAAGTACTGTAATAAAAATTAATGCTAAATAATCTTAAAAATCGACATTAGTCTCTCTTGTCAACATATAATAATTTCATCTTAATTTCGTTTCATGCATTATCCATTATACCTTATATTCCATATTTGTAATTATACCGCTGTTCATATCTTTTATCGGGGGACATATTGATGCCATAATGTCGATCATTCTTCGAGCTCCCAACTGTTTAAAAATTAACAATCCATTTGCTGTAACATAATCAGATTAAAAGGACGATAGTACTGTACGAAGTTTAACTTTTATAATTTACAATAAAAAAGGAGAATAAATATG